TAATTATATATATATATTGCTCCGATGTTTTAGAACAGGATCTCATTGCTATATAAGGAGTTCCTCTTCATTTTGGCATATAAAAAAATGGGTTAAGACTCTTGTTTCTCATGTATTTTATTTATTTATTTATTTTTAAACAATAAAATTAAATAAATAAATAAATAAATAAAAATTTTAATTACTATCTTCATACCGTTCAGTGAACATTAACAGTTTATTTAACATTCATCAAAAGTGTGAGGTCAACCGAAAAATAACAATAAAACAAAATAAATTTGCAGATTATTTTTGCTTAAATTTAATTACTTAATTTTTTTTAAATTAAATTTTATTTTTTTAAATTAAATTTTATTTTTTTTAATACCAAAATCTTAATTTTTATTCGTTATTAAACGAGTTAAGAATTAAATGATGAAAGCTTCGATGAAGACATGTAAATGCTTCGACAGAATGATATATTTTTGCTAATAAATCTGTCAAAAATCATGAGATGAATTTAAAATATTTTTTAATTAATTTATTAACACGTTGAAAAATTATTATTTATTATACGATGCTCTTTATTAAATCGAAATTATTATAATTTTTTTAAGTTAAAAAAAAAGCAGAAATGTAAGATTATTTTTGCTTAATTTCAGTAAAATTTCAGTTTTTTTATAGTGAATTTAATTTATTTACGAGTTAGAATGTGTTTAAACTGGAGATTAGAAGTGTAAGGCTCATACAGGAATGGATTTATTAAGCTATAATACATAACAAACCTTTCCTTTTCCATATTTATGGCCTCCCATATTTACAGGCATCATTATTTGTGATGCCTATAAATATAGGAGGCCCTAAACTAAAGACTTTATTCCTTCTTACGATAAGATTCGTACTGTACATCTGATACATCATTTAAAGTGTACAAGATGGCTGAATTAATTAATAGATATATCAATTTTATCATTAATTCATACACTCCGGATGTCTTTAATGCTTATATCTTTAATGAAAATTAAAATTTAGAAATTAATCTTTAATTTTTATCTCTATTTACGCTTAAAATTAATTAAATAATTCCATTAACACGCACTGTTTCCTTATATAAAGCTACCGAAAATCCTTTTGAAATACTTCCAAAATCCAGTTTTTTCATAAATTTCGAGCAAAAATTTAAATTCCTGTTCTAAATCTTTCACGTATATTAAAATTAATAGGCTCATTTGAAACACATAAACATGAATTGAATCAATAATAGCTTAACAGTTTATTAAGCTATTAGAATTTCGGACGTAGGTCTTATTTTTTTGACCTGATAAAACAACTAGATACCAACAAGACCTTCAACGTGTTTAGAAGTTCATGGCCACAGATGTAATTACGTTTTGTCTATACTGCAACTGGTTCTGGTCGAACTAGTTCTTCACTCAAACTCAATCTCCTCCCCATTAACGTCTCGTCCAGTTGTCATTGTTACATTTCTGAACGCTTACTATGTATAAAAATATTAAAAATAGAGATATTTTTCCATAGAAATATCAACAATTATACACTATATATATATATATATATATACATATATTTCTTGTGTATTCATTAAAAAGAAACAGACTGATACGTTCTGCTCTCTTTACAATGCATAGTTCCTCCCAGAATGTAGGTTAGTTAGTGGTTTTTGTGTGTGTGCTTGCAATGTCCAACGGTGCATTCAAGTGCGAAACAAATTTGGCCAATTCAATGTTAAGGATATATTAAAAATTGCGTGCCAAAAACGACTATTTTATTCTTATCGTAATAATTAATATCGCTAATGGATATTAAGCAATATAAATAAACTTGTTTGGTTATGCTTTTAGATATTAGGGTCATTAAACATGAAGTTTATAAGTCTAGAAGTAATTTTATACACGCTTCGACTTTAACGTTCCTCTTATAACTTTAACACTTCATAAGTTTACATTACAATACACAGTTCTAATTTAGAATAGCTTTGTATAAAATTTCCTACGAAGTTATACAGAAATTATTAACACAGTAAAACCTGTCTAAAACGGAAACCTACCTAAATGGAAATCTATAGTGTGATCTTGGTGTATTTACATTTTGTAGAACCTATATACAACTAGAGCATTATTCTATAGGCCTATATAAAGTCTTGCTTCGTCTAGTTTTATTGCATTATTTTTATATTTAATTTTCATTTCCTATATTTTATGGGGAGAGAAATTGTATTTTCTAATTATTCTTCGAGTTTTATGGTTCTATTCTTTTGTACATTTGTATATTTAATTAATTTTGTATTCTGTTAAATCTGTGCTAATTTATTCTCTATCCTAAACATCTGATTTTATATTATTTCCATTGAATACTTTTTTAAATTTTAACTTGCATTTAATATTAGAAACTTATAGAATTATATTTTCATGGAAATTCAGCTTCTGTGCGCTATGAGATTGATTTTTACTTTAATGTAATAATACTAATAGAGACTCTACATTAATTATAATAACTTGTACAAATTGAGAACCAAAACGATATTTTTCTGGTAATTACCATGGAAAATTATTAGAGAGCCTTCATAAAAACTCGTTCTAAATTCAAATATACAATGTTAGACGGATTAAATTTGAAAACTTATAAAACATTCTTTGTTCTTCTTGCAGGTGCTCCATACACTTCTGCTGATGCAGCTAACGTATGCTAGGACGTACGAGAGCAGCAATTCCATAGCAGTGAAAAAATCAGCCGTAAAGTATGCAGGACCAATGGTATATTCGAATTTACCACCTCCTGTGGTATACTTTCCCACAATGCCAAAAATTCCAAAGAATATGATCGGAAGCAGCGAAAGTGGACCGTCCAGACCAGTTGAATATATCCCTCTTCCTTATCAAGATCTACCAGTTCTAATTTACCAATCCAAACATCATCCACCTGTACACGTTGTACATAACAATAAACACGGAAGTTATTCTAGTAGCCAAGATAGTAATAAAGGCTACCTTTCAACTTCCGGTAAAGATACTTCAACTCAAGAAGGTGGGAGAGGTTTCGGTAAATTTTCGAATAATTACGATGATTATGAACAGGGAGCGGCTTCCGAATCATACAATCAAATTGCAACTTATTCACAGCTACCGTCTAGTTACGAAGGTTACAGACCTACAGCCGGATATGCACAGACATCAGAATCTTATTCGCGACTCCCAAGTGGTTATCAATCTCAAGATACCAGATTCAACAGTGCATATCACGATGAGTATAGTCCCACTGCTGAAGATTTCAGTCAGAGTAGTACTTCTACTTATTCTTCATACAGTAAGCCATACAAAGGGCAATATACAAGGAATAAGTTATCTTTTCAACATCAATCTCCTTACGATTCACACATAACGTCAAATAGTATTAAAAATTTAATAAAATCTGTCAGTCATCCTTCACCCGTACCGTATCAAGCTGATGAGAGTTATATGAAACCCATTGTATCATATCCACCCGAGACATTACAGATCTATAAAGGAAGCAATTATGGTTATGATTCGCGTGGTCATCATTCTGTCTATCAGCCAAAACCCATTTTTCTAACCTCTCCGAGTACCTCAAATGCGGTTTATATTCCTCGTCCTCCTCCCCATTCTACTCCTGGAGATGATGATGATGGTGGTCGATACGGAAGTAATCGAGATATGAGTAACTTTCCATCTTTGTCCATGCCTGCTCCACATATAATTTACACGGGTCACCCACCCATTCACGTTTTTCCTCAACCGATTATCGTTAAAGAAGCATCTAAACCATCCGATTCGGCTTTAGAAGAAGAACAGGGTGAATATGCACAAGCTAGTGAAGGCCACAGTGTAAGTTATGGTGGGTACAAAGATCCTTCTAGTGATGGATATAATTATAAGGGCAATTCGTATAGCAACGAAAATAATAATGGATATAACTCTGCAAGCAGTACTTACCACGATAACAGGCAGCCTTCAGACACAAACACGGCTTACAGTGAAGGTAATGATCATGGATCGTCATCTGATGATAATTCATCGCCATCGAGACCCAGTTATAGCTCAAACAATTCGCCTAGTAGCGGAGGAAAATTTTATGGAAGCGTAAGCGGAAGCGGAAATTCAAATAAGGGCACTTACACTTATACTAGATATCCACCCTCTTATGAATATGGATTGACTTCTGGTTATGGCGATGGTAGCAACATATTTGGAAGCGGAGGATTTCATTTTGGTGGTTATGAAGGTTTAAAATTGAGACCTTCGGGCGGTATAATGGGAAGACTCACTGCTCTGGGTAGTTCGCTATTCGTTAGAAGACCATTCAGTCTTAGTTCCATGTTTAGCAATTACAGACCATCTACTTATTACCTTCCTTCAAGTTATCATACCTCCGGAAGTAGTATAAGTAGCAGTTATAAACCAATGGCAAACTCCGGCTATACAGATCATATTACGAGCTCTTCTCAAAATACAGAATCGTACAATGGAGTAAATTCCGATGAAAATGAAGAAATCCCGTATCCTAAAGTTAACTATAAAGTTCCACCAACATCTTCCACAGCTTCTCCTTACCATCAAAAACCTCCAATAATAATTTATCAAGGAATAAGACCACCAGTATATGTTTATAGTCAAACAGCGCAAGAGAAAAATGACGAAGGAACAAGCTCTTCATTAACAGAAACTCAAAAAGATTCCACACCTCAAATAACTTATGAAAACGAAGAATCATTACCAAATTATCATCAACCGACATTCAGCCAGAAAGAATCCATTCAACAAAGCGAATATGATTCCAATCAACAACAGAATTCATACGAAGCTTCACCGGTAAGTCCCGAAGATTTTCAATCAGATTCAGAAATTCAAAATTACGATACAAATGCAGTAGAAAGAGCCGATCATCCAGATGAATCTGAAGAACCGGAACATCCTCAAGATCTTACAGATAGAAGCGGATGGGTACCCATAAATTTTCCTGAAGATCAAAAGGAAGAATCAGTAGAAGGTAGAGTAGAAGCTGAAATTTTGGTTTCGTGATTCGTATGGACTATAAATAATAAAATGTAGTCCCAATAAAACGTACAAATAATAATATCTTACGTATATAATCTTAGATAAATCCAATGTGCCCACCTTCATCAGAAAATGTGTTGATTACATATCGTTAGTATTTGTGTATTTGTTTTAATAATATTTGTTAATTAATAATTTATTACTGAATAAAATATATCTTTTTATATGTATATACATATAAGAATTTCTTTAAATTATGAATTTAAAAAAAAAAAAAACAATAGTTAAACATAAAGATGGCAACGTGCCTTTTTGTCGCCATCTATCGGCTTAAAATTACAACTAAAATGGTAAAAAGTACAGTGGCTAGAAAATATAGTGTCGAAATCGAGCTTATTTTCTGTCCCTATATTGGAGGTTGCCGCAAGAGGCGCTGCTGTCAATCGTTGTGCTACACTGGCTGTATCATCTTATGTTTATATTGGTTTTAAGTGGGATTTTTAAGCATAGTAAATGTGCTGTAGCCAAGTAAAAGAATTTAGATCGATAATAAATCATATCACTAGCAATCAATTATTATATAGTATTACTTTATTAACATTTATGAAGGAATTCATTTTATTAAAGCTAATTAAGATTCTTATTAAATCAAATAGCCTACACTGTATTGTCTATTTTTACATTACAGCTGTTGAGTGCTGTACAAACAAGTATTATTTAGAGTACAAGAGTAATCTACTCTTGTTATTACCTTATTAACAACAAGGTTTATTCATATTTACTAAAAAAATACAGAATTTATCATATTTTTAATAATAAAATGTAAGTTTTATATGGCTTTGTGAACCTCTTCCACTGTGAGGGCCTAAAATAGAATTTATTAAGCAAATGCCATCAGTTACATAATACTGTATACTGTTCACAGTATTATGTGACATAGTATAAAGCAATATTAAAATTACAATTAAATTCTACACAGTATATAAAATATAAAGGCAGAATGTTACTTTATTGTCCCAATATAAAATTACAAAATTAAGTATGTACAAATAAACGATTATTAGTCTACTGCCAAGTACCCATGCATATACACTTTATATTTGAAAAATCTCTCTTAAAAAATTACAGATTAATATGCATGTAGATTTCTCACCCTTTTCGACAAAAATAAAAGAATTAAAAATTACAGTAGAGTAATATCTATAAATTAGAAATACACAAGTCAGTAAAGTTTCTGTTCAGCCATTTCCTAAGGATTTATTCACTTTACAAGCACAAATTTAATCGCTTTCGATGTTCTTGTAAGAAAGGATATCACGTAGCCAAAGCGAAAGTAGCACTACGATTGACATCAGCGCCATCTTGTCTGTGACGTCACTAACCTCGCTGTATGGACCGAATGGTTATAATGGAGGAATATAAGCGCTTTCGACACTATATTTTCTAGCCACTGTAGTAAAAAGTACAGTATTATAAAAATTATTTTTATCTTTACATTTTTAAATAAATTAATAAAAAAATTCAGGGATTTAACTCTGTATAGCATTTAGGGATTAAATTAAATAATTAATTAATAAAAATTTTAATTTAACAATTTAAATTTTTAGTGATTCGAAAAATTTTTTTTCTCTATTAAAAAATATAAATAGCTCTTTCATTAACTAAATTTATTAAATTAAGTGTTTTAAAGTTGAAAATTATTGCTAAAATTTAGAGTCAAACCTTATTACTAGATGGCAGGTAAGTATAATGGAAATACGATCAAATACAGTAAGATTTTCTATGGGTGACTTTATCCTTTCTGCATTTGTAGCCCTTAAAATATTTTTAAATAAGTTAAAATCTATTTTAATGTGATTATTAAAGTTAATAGGGTAATTTACAGTTATTTTTTAAGAAAAAAATATAAAATAAAATAAATACAGTAATATATTAAGAAAATCAAATATGGCGGATTAATAGCATTGGTGGAAGCTCAAAGGAAAGTTTTATAATTCTGATGAAACTAAGTTAGATCGCATAAAAATAAGAAACAATTACTGTAACATAAATATATATAATTTGGTTTAAACTACACATATAGGATCGGAGAGAAAGTAAACGTTGTGTATTTTTTAGAAATCGAATCCGGACTCGTCTACAAAATAAATTAAATATAAGTAATTATTGACATAATTTAAACACTTTTTAATATTTCTTAGGTAATTAATTTATTAATTTTTACTGTTTTTCTGAAGTTATTTCCCTAATATTATTGTATGATACGTTGTCCTATGGTTTCAGACTGATGAGTCTGAAACCATAGCAGTTGATCTTTATTTATTTAATTTATGTTGATCTTTATTGTTTTTTTAAAGTAAAGCATACTTTCTGAGTGAGGAATAAATTCAAGTTATTTTGATGAAGTTGTTGAAGAGTTTAACATTCTGTATGCGCTGTGTAATTGGTGAGAAGTCTGGATGCAGCCTGTTAAACTCTTCAACAACTTCATGCTGAATGCGGGTCCCCACTATCAAAATAACTTGAATTTATTTCCTCAGCAGTATGTTTTACTTGTAAAAAAATAAACAAACATCAACATAACTCTTTTATGGGACTTTTATGGGACATAACTCTTTACATTAAATGTACGCAAATACTAGAACCAGTATCATCTGTGTCGTCTTAATTTCTTATTTGCATATTTTTAAACAAAATCCTAAAGTATATTTATTATTAAACAAGAATATAGATTGATTTTTTCTATATTGCGCCTCTTTGTCATATGATCTTATGGGGTCCACCAGAGACCAAGTAAATAAAAGCACCGAAGTGGTGGGTTCACACCTGGCCAATGAGATGGCACGTGGAGTTTTCCGGCTTTTTCTCGTGTTTAACATCTAAATAGGGGCCAGATCGCTCACGTGACACTTTGCCGTGTATAAACAAACGTATGATCTTATCGATATAGACATTAGACTTAGCTTATAAGCACGTAAACTAGAGCCGATACGACGTATAAACTCTGAGTGTAATTCCGAGTCATGTCAATGGCATCTAACTTTTAAAACATTAATGATATTAAAGTTATACAATAGAATATAAATTAATATTTATTTACATAAATCTCACAGTATACATTAAGTCCAGTCGAAGCTGCGAGGTTGTAAATATGTCATATGTTAATTAATAAGCTTCGACATGAATTTACGTTCACTAAAACTCTGAAATTACAAGCTGTTGCTTTTCTAATTCGAAATTTTACTTTCAAGCTTTAAATCATTCTTATTCTACAAACTTTTGACAGTTTTAAAAAAAATTAATTTCAATTTATTACTTAAAATATTTTACATTTTTAACAGTATTTATTTCCAATTTTTATTTTAAAAGAATCGATAATTAATTAAATATTTTTTAAGTTAAGCTGATAAATTATTTAAAAAAGGGACCAAAAATCAGTTAACCAAGTTATGTTCCTTATATTTATGTAACTTTTTAAACCGCTTGTATATAAAAAATTTGTCGCTTGTCAGACGCGACGCGACGTCGCGTATTTAAAAATCAATTATTCATAGCTTTTAAATTAGCTAACATCAAAGATATTCTTCATGTAAATAATATTAATAAATAAACGCATTTTATTTAAGTCTAAGAAATATTTTATAACCTGTAATTCTTAAAATACTTGACGTTTTAGTGTCGTCGCGTGCGTTCAAATGTCATTAATTTAAAAAGCTATTTACAATTTTATAAGAACTTTTTAAAATTTTTATACGAGACAAATAAAAATAAAATTGCTTTAAAAGAAAGAAATGTTTTAGAAATGTCATACGCGATGTTAAATGGCGTAAAACTAAATAGAGACAGTTTATAGAGGTGCGCGACGCGACGCGATTTCGCNATAAAACCGTTAAAATAAGAAATTTTAATTATGTAATTCTTCATCATAACCACACTTTTAGATATAGAGCGTGAAAGACAGATGATGTAAAAATAAAAACAATCTCATATTAATTCCTTAAATGCTTTAAACATTATTAAATATAACAACTTAATAATTACCAAATTTAAAATAAAAATATTAATTTTTAATTTAAAATTAACTTAAAACCGAAGATTTAACGATTAACATATCATACACACGACACCATCCTTTTTTTGATAATTAATTAACCTTCCTATAGTTTACCAATTATCGATTTTTTCGAACATTCAATTATCAAAAATTTTATCTCGCCATTTTTAATGGAATTTTCCATTTAATTTAATTAAGTTTAACGAATAAATAATAATAAGTTTTTTTAAAAAATTAACCATATCTATAACGATAAAAACCTATCTCTCTCCTCCTCCTCCTCCTCCTCTGTAGTAATTTAATAGAGGGATATACATTATTCTAGTGAAGAGAAGATATCCAAAAAGTGTTTTGTTCCTATCTCCTATCTTAATGCCATTCATTCTCTATACAAAGATATGTAAGGGGTGATGCAAACGATATAAATTATTCGATGACGTGCGTGACAAAAGTCTGTTATAAACGACAGTAATTTCATCGTTGTCTTCAATCTGTCGTCTATATTTAGACCGTTGTTAGTCAACGATAATCGATAAAAATTCCATTTTTATTTATTTTTCTTCGTTTGTGTGTTTTCTATTTTAATGATTAGTAAGTAAAGTACTTTATGGCACACTTGTCTCTTCTGTGTTAAGAATAATTAGTTGAAGAATGATGGAGATGTTCGCTCTCTTTAAATTTTGTTTAAGTACCCTATTACCTTCATAACTAGTTGTTAAAAATTATAAATATTGGAATATTTAGGTAATAAATTAAGTATATTTTCCCTCTTTAACTGTAATTGTGTTCATTTGTTATACGAACCTTCGATAACGGACACATCTCGACAACGGCCAACTGTATGCGGCGGCCATTTTTTTTTACGAACTTTACTTCTTGAAATTCATACCATAACCTCTAAATAACGTCACTTTCATTATACTTCCACTCGGTGGCCGTTGTTAAGAGGTTTGTCTGTATTTTAATTTCTAGATTTAGAACATTTAAACTGTATACGAATTTCTGATCTGGACTGGAAGTAACGTGATTTCAATTCAAAATTTTTACTTTACTATAT